CTATGATGAAAATTACAGGCCTCTCTCATCTTTTTAAGTGGGAGAACCTGCACAATTGGTGGCTGACTAAATACTTTTTTGCCCCACTGTATCTTTGTCTTATGATTTCTTCAAGTACTGTATTATTTTGCTTAACCTTAATTAGGTTAATTAATTGTTAACCTATTCTTGATTTTTGCAATCATGTAGTAATACTATACTTAAATCTATGAGATGATCAACTCTGTGGTTATTAATCAAATTATAGGAGGGTCTGCAACATCAGATGACCATGAATTTGACCCAACAGCAGACATGCTGGTCCATGATTTTGATGATGAACGAACATTAGAAGAGGAAGAAATGATGGAAGGTGAAACAAATTTCAGTTCTGAAATAGAAGATCTTACAAGGGTAAATATTTTTTTTTAAACTCAAATATTGTATGTGCATATTCTTCTTGCAAATGCCTGAAAGTACATAGACATTTTTCAAAATTACAGTAAAGTAGTGGCTTCAGAATAATTACCCTGTTATGTATCACAATATATGAACATTGTCCCACATATGGTGTACTCTGTTTTTATTTAGTGATAGGTTTTATGATGAGTGCGTGTGTTTATTATTATGGTAATGTTCCTGAAATGTGCATCATCCAAGGGAAAATAGAACTCTGTAAGTACTCATATAACTGAAATATCTTGGCAAAGTTATTTTAAATGGGACACTTAAAATGCTGTTTGAAAAATAATAGAAATAAACTAAAACTTAATGTATCCATATCCCCTAGAAGGACATATAAAATACTTTGTAGCAATTGGCTGAACAATAGTTCAGTATTCTCCATATTCCTAATTCATAGAGTCTTTCACAGATATTAAACATTATTGAAAATTCAGTCATCTATTTCTAATACTGTACAAAGTTTATATAGGCTTTATTTAGTATAAAGTATTTCCATCTAAGCTATTGATTAAGGGGTTTTAGGTGCATTTATTTTCTAAAAAAGTAAGCCCAATTGGCCATAAAAAGTTCCATTTTAGGGAGATAACCTTTTTAGACCAGAATGCAACCTTTCAAGATCTTCAAATCACTTCATGAAGCAAGATACTAAAAAAAGCAAAAGGATAAAAAGAGATTGATGATCTTGAAAACAGTAAACACTGGCACTGTTATGTTTAAATTGCATCCAGGGCCATTCTTGGGACTGTTGGGATGAAGAAGCAAGTAAACAATTATTTTCCCATTGTTGATTACTATATAAAAATCCAGCTGCACTTAAATAGGTCTCCATGTTTAAGTAATCACAGATGCTCTTTAGTAAGTGGAATTGACAGTTCTTATGTTAACAAGGTTGAAGATACTAGCTGCTGGGTAAGTTTTTTAAAAAGTCAGTGTCAAAATGAGTAGATAGAAAAAGGTTCCCTCTGAAAATAGTACAGCTTATTATTTCAGACTTGTGTTTCATGTAAGGATGAAGGTAGTTTGATTATTGACTAACTGTATCAGCAGATATGGGATTAGAACTAGGTTGATGACTACTAAATCTTGTTATATATGCACATTTTTGAAAATATACAATATGTTAGTTATATTAGATTGAAGTGAAATATATTTAGGTTGTTTGCATGTCTGATTTCTTAGATAATTACTTTGTCTTCTTGAAATCAAAGAAATAGTCAAATGAATATGCCTGGAGAACGGGAGTGATTGTGAGATTATGAGAACATTACAAGTTCCATGTGAGTGTTCCTCATCATTTATGTAGCAAGTGTCACCATGGAAATGTGTGTCCCATCAGTGGTGCAGCTTCTTAATGGAGCAAGGAGCCTGCATGCCAGTCAGATGTCAGCTGCTCATAAAATAGACAGTGAAGGTCAGAAGTATTGACTTTCAGTGAAAGCCTAGTACAGATAAAGTGCTAGTACATGTTAAAGATATTGCATATACTCAGTTCTATGGGTAGCTTGATCAATATTGAAATTGCTCAGGGGATATATTATGAACAGTTATGGGTAATTTTCATATGATTGGATGGCATATATTTAGCTTGCATATTATTTTATTGAATACAAATTAGTAGCTTGTGAAATCATCATCTAAAAGGTATTTTTAAAAAACCTTGAACCAATACCTGTTTGCATTTCAGAGCCTTGGAATTAATGAGACTTGGAAAATGCAGTCAAGTTTTGAATTCCCTTTATTTGCTTTATTCGAATTGCTCTTTAATATTTTATTTTTTCATCTCTGCAGTTGTGTGTGTGAACATGTGTGTTGTGTATAATACTTATGCAAGTATTTGTATTTAATCTGTACACATAGTATGTGTATGTACAGTACATGTGTGTTATGTGTACAACATGTTAACTATTGCTGGCCTACATAAATATTTTTCAGGCTGGAAAATTACCTATTGGAATGAATACATTCTTATAGCACATTCAATTTTTGCACTAATTATATGGCATTAATTCAGCCATATAATGAGTGTGTAAAAAGATAAAGCTAGCTTTCTGCAAAATGCTTATAACTGTACATTTATGTATACGTTTGTTGCTTCATTCAAAAGACATTCTCTCCTATTTGCAATAATTTGATGTCTGTTGTCCTTCTGCCTAGCATTCACTTGTTCAAAATCACTTAAATATAACATAAGTCACCCATCACTTGTAGCTTTTCTTGCTTGTTCCTATTATCAAATTGAGTAGTGAGTGTGTATATGTGTGTGTTAGTGTATCCTGACCACACAGAGTGGAAAATGTACCAAATGGAATGATTGCTCCATCCTGCTTTCCCTGTACCTGATTGCTGTGCTGTTATATCAGACTGCATCAGTATCCCATCCTGCCTCTTCTGCTATAAAAAAGAACACATACACTTGAAGTCTCTCTCTGTAGATTTATAAAGTTTGACCTGTACTCTCCAAGGAGCAGTTCTTGCCACTGTTGATTAGTCATCCCACAATGGTATATAATTGGTTAAATTCTTATGTCCTGTTTTAATTCTTTTTAGGAAGGTGATATGCCAATTCATGAGCTTCTTAGCCTTTATGGTTATGATGGTTCTGTACCACTACCAGAAGAGGAAGAAGAGGAGGAGGAGGGTGAGGGTGAAGATAATGATAACAACAGTGGGTGCAGTGGAGAAAATAAAGTGAGTTAGACTTATTAATTTAAAAATTTGGTTTCTGCTATTATGTACATGTGCCTTTGGTAAGCAAGAATTTAAATACTTGAAATTTGCAATATATAGAGAAGCTCTTGTAGATACCAGAATGTAAACCTGGCATATAGTTTTGATTTCCAGATTTAATCTTGTGGATGTGCACACAGGCTCTTAAAGATTAGAAGGCAAAGAGAAAGCTATTGTTGAAATTGTTGAATGCTACTATAGGATTGCTTCAACAAAACACAGTGTTACAATGGCTATATGTACATTAGTGTCTGCTCTGCTTTTTTGTTTAAGGAATTCCTGAGAGTTGAAAGAAGGTGAATTCTTTTGGTTTTCGAGACTGAATTTGGACTGTGAAGAAGGCATGGGCTTGTTGTTCCATTTACTTAGTGAACAGTTGAATAGGAAAGAACTCATATTTGCTTAAAGGGGGTTGTTCATGGTTATAATTATTAGTGACTTTCCCAGTTTAGCCTCTGCCATTATCATTGCTTATGAATAAAATGAACACACAAGCATGCAAACTCAAGGCCCCTGCCTAGTTTAATTTCAAATACAGTCTGAGATCCAAGAAATGAGTAATTAACTTCATAGAAAGTTGGAGGAGTAGAGCTATTCAGATTGCCAGTCATAGTTTTAAAGTTGGAATAGTGGTCTTGGATTATCATATTAGAAGGGTTCATATTTTCATCCCCTTGCCTAGGAATACTTATTGTTCATTTCTGACATGCAAATATATGGCAAATTGTATAACTATTCTAGTGTATTACAATAAAGGAAATGTTAATTAATTTTAGAGCATAGTATTAGAAATGTTGCCATGTTGTGTGATTAATCAAGAGAATAATATGGAACGGTGCAAAGTATAAATAACAATGCAAGAAATCTGTGAGGCACAAATGAATAATGGAATACTTACATCCAAAGAAAGTACTATTTGTTACTGAGAATCTTACTAATCTTTGGTCAGTACATTTAATCTACTAAAAATATTTCTTTGTTTACATTGCTCCATTACCCATAATAAAAATGCTATTTTGCTGTACGTTACTGGAATAAAAACTGGATAAAAGAAATTGTATTTGGTTTCTCAAAGTGCTATAACAGACCATCTGGTAAATATAGTGCCCTGCTAAGATTCTAAAAAAATCTGCTATTCTTCCTGGCTTTTTCTTTTGTTCTTGCTTTCTTTTTCCAATAAAACAAAAATTTCCTCCAATGTAAACAATGTGAAGGATTAGCATAAGACATTTAGAGATCAGGTCTACAATTGCAACCAGTTTGAGAGCACTGCAGAAAGTTGGGAAACTTCAATCCATAACTCTTCTCCCTTCAGTTTTCTTCTACTTTTCTCCTATATTGGACTTTACCCTTATTGGAAACAGCAAGCTATGGAAGCAGATGGGGAGCTGCAAAAAGGAAAGTGGTATTGAATTTTTCTCTTTAAGGTCAAGTTCTTTCTCCAAATTTCAACCTAAGATATTAAAATTTCAACTCAAGATACTAAAAATCAGTTTTGTCATTTATTTAGAACATTTTATCTCAGCTTTTTCCCAAATTGCACTGAATTGACTTTGTTTGCCCTGATTAATAACTTTTATTAAGAGAGTCACAGGAGATGTGCAACTTTGATCATTCTTATTGGTTTCTTGGCAACTTAAAACTACTTGACAAAATTGGGACCTCAAAACACTCTGTGTGCACAGACACATACACTTTCCTTGCCTTCCCTTTGCAATGCAATAAAACGAAACAGAACAATATAGGTGTGACCAGAGCTTGATGATGATAATTATGTGGAATGCTTTTTTTCATATAAGCCTATTCCAGAGTAAAGGTAGCTTGCCCACAGTATTCATGCTCTGATGACTTCTCAGATAGCCTTATAATCTGCTCCAGGTAGGGCCCTCCTTGCAAATGGTTTAGAGATAGTTGCTTGTGCAAAATACAGTCAGGATTTGATGACATAAATCAGTGTTTCTCAACCTTAGCAAGTTTTAAGATGTATGGATTTCAACTCGCAGAATTTCGCATACAGTATGCTTAAAGTTACGAAGGTTGAGAAACACTGACATAGATAAAATCTTTAGGTGAACTCATATTTTGGTAATTTTATGAACATATTATTGCTACCTTTGATAACTATAGAAGTAATTCGCCACTTCATTTTTTTGAGTTTTTTTTTCTTTTTATTTCCCTGTCTAGCCTTCCCTGTCTTTTCTTGGCAGTCTCTTACCTAAGTTTTAACCAGATTGGTGATTTTGAGATCAGTCAAGGTTGGTTAATTGCTGCCAACTGTTTGGGCTAGATTGTATAACATTAGTCCTTTAAGAGCAGAACTGACTGCAATTCAGTTTGTTAACTTTAATGCATAAATACCTAAATTCCCTAGATTGGAATTACCTGAAGGAGTACCTCTCCTTGCATTATCCTGCCATAGTTTGAAATTTGCCAGGAAGCCTTTTTTGAGCACATCCTAAATGAAATCTGGAGTTTCAGAACAAATTGTTGGAGGTATGGAATGTTGTCTGGAGATAAAGTTGATGTTGGTTAGTTTTCTGTGCCAATGGAACGGAATTCTTTAGTGTTAGGTTTTGATTGGAAGTTGGACCTGTATTTTAGAAATGGATAATTGAAAGGCAACTTTATAATATATGAATACTTTGTATGTTAAAGTATTGGTGTACATAGTGACTAGTTTGGTATCATTATATTCTGAATAATATATATAAGGATATAAACAAAAAGTAAATATTTATTTATATCCAGTATGAGCTGAAGTTTCTAGAACATTTATTTGTGTGACTGTGTTGCATATGTCATTTTCTTTTGTTTCAGAGGGTCTTCAGATTAAAATGCCCTTTCTGCTAATTTTCTTTTGCACTTATTAGGAATTGCAGAATTTTTTGACAAAATTGATAACATTATAAGATATAGCAACACTTCCAACAGGGAAAAGAATGAACAAATAAAGCTTTGTTTCTGGCTCTGCTGTTAAGAACTTTATTTTCCATATTTTGAGAGATTTGATTTTAGGAAAAACATCCTCAGGCAGCATATAAACTGATTAAATAAATAAAATTAATTATTATTAGAATTGCTGTGTGACCTATTTCAGTGCACTAAATAGGTGGGCTATTTCATATCTGTCTGTAAAGAAAGATATGAAATAGCCCACCTATTTAGTCCACTGAAATATGTCACATAGCAATTCTAATAATAATTAATTTTATTTATTTAATCAGTTTATACGCTGCCTCAGTCACAAAGGCACCATGACGGCTTAACAAAAGCTCCATGACAAACTAAAGTTTGATATTAAGTATGACAAAGTCTTTAATTAATGGTAGTTATTGTGAAATAATGTCTGTGAGGCATTGAAACTTCTGGTTGGCTCTGTATTTTTTAAAAGAAGTTTAAATCATAACACAGCTTACGAGAGTAGAGGACATTTTAGGCCGGAGGCATATTTGGAATGTGGTGAGAGCATTTGCAAAGTAGCTGTCATAATTGGTATTGCCAGTCACATGACACAAGTTTTCAAAAGGCAAATTAGACTTTCATAATGCTTTCTACCAACCTTTTTGTGGAGTTCAAAGGCATTGCTGCAAGTAAATATATTTATTATAATTTATTTATTACCTGTATTTGTGTATTGCCTTTTCCTTCTTATTTTATGCTAAAGGCTGGTCTTTTGCTTTATAGCATCCCAACAACATATTTTATTATTAGAATCTTTTTCAGAATCTCAGGTGAGACAGGGAGACACTGGGCACTTAAAATGCCTGTTTATAAGAGAGTTTACAAGCACTATGTTGCCTATTCCTAGTTTATAAGTTTGTTAGGAAATATGAACATTAAAATAGATGGACCTTTGGCCTTCCTTTTCACCCCACAGTTTGTGGAAGATTTGAGGTATATCCAATCTACATAAGCTAGAATCAAAGTTAGAAAGGAAATGATGGTGGTGAAGAAATCTTTTTTCTTTGCATCTGCAAAAGGAGTTGATGAAAGCACCCCATTTGAACACTGAAGGATTGAATGGGAATATCTGGCTTGTGGTTCGGAAATTTCCTACTGCATATATAAATGTATACATTTGAGGTTGTTCTTGCTTGATGCTATAAACAGGTTACAGGCTAGTTTGTGGGCTACCAGTTGCATGTTTTATGCTCTCCCAAAGAATCATGTTAGAATACTTTAGTTATTTTTTAAACTGCAGGGTAAGAAGTACTTTTTGTGACAATGAGAGTGTCTTGGAAAAATGAAACCTGTACCTAGGAAACATTAAAAATCACCATTATCAAATCTGGGCAAAGTAAATCCAGCCACAGAGAAAGGATATATACAGTGGGGCAAAAAAGTATTTAGTCAGCCACCAATTGTGCAGGTTCTCCCACTTAAAAAGATGAGAGAGGCCTGTAATTTTCATCATAGGTATACCTCAACTATGAGAGACAAAATGGGGGAAAAAATCCAGAAAATCACATTGTCTGATTTTTAAAGAAATACTTATTTTCCACCATGATTTGCAAATAAATTCTTTAAAAATCAGACAATGTGATTTTCTGGATTTTTTCCCCCATTTTGTCTCTCATAGTTGAGGTATACCTATGATGAAAATTACAGGCCTCTCTCATCTTTTTAAGAAATACTTATTTTCCACCATGATTTGCAAATAAATTCTTTAAAAATCAGACAATGTGATTTTCTGGATTTTTTCCCCCATTTTGTCTCTCATAGTTGAGGTATACCTATGATGAAAATTACAGGCCTCTCTCATCTTTTTAAGAAATACTTATTTTCCACCATGATTTGCAAATAAATTCTTTAAAAATCAGACAATGTGATTTTCTGGATTTTTTCCCCCATTTTGTCTCTCATAGTTGAGGTATACCTATGATGAAAATTACAGGCCTCTCTCATCTTTTTAAGAAATACTTATTTTCCACCATGATTTGCAAATAAATTCTTTAAAAATCAGACAATGTGATTTTCTGGATTTTTTCCCCCATTTTGTCTCTCATAGTTGAGGTATACCTATGATGAAAATTACAGGCCTCTCTCATCTTTTTAAGAAATACTTATTTTCCACCATGATTTGCAAATAAATTCTTTAAAAATCAGACAATGTGATTTTCTGGATTTTTTCCCCCATTTTGTCTCTCATAGTTGAGGTATACCTATGATGAAAATTACAGGCCTCTCTCATCTTTTTAAGAAATACTTATTTTCCACCATGATTTGCAAATAAATTCTTTAAAAATCAGACAATGTGATTTTCTGGATTTTTTCCCCCATTTTGTCTCTCATAGTTGAGGTATACCTATGATGAAAATTACAGGCCTCTCTCATCTTTTTAAGAATTCTTTAAAAATCAGACAATGTGATTTTCTGGATTTTTTCCCCCATTTTGTCTCTCATAGTTGAGGTATACCTATGATGAAAATTACAGGCCTCTCTCATCTTTTTAAGTGGGAGAACTTGCACAATTGGTGGCTGACTAAATACTTTTTTGCCCCACTGTATGATCTTCCTTCTTCATCTGACTATTTTATTTATTTAGTTAGTTGTTGAAGTTCTTTCATTGAAGTTGGGATACATTACTAAAGTTATTGTCCAAAATAGATGAATAAAGGTTTGGAAACTTTCTGTTTCTAAAATCAGATCCCAAGGAGGCAGATGAGAGCTTATATCTAGTTGTAAAGAAATTAGTATATTAAATCTCTAAAGGGAGGCCTGAATGAACAAGCCGAAACTTTATGCCATATATAAACTGGGAGCATTTATAAAACCTGATATGTTCTTATATCTTATTACTATTTTTCTTAGTTTCATATCATTTTTACATATTCTGGTGGTGGCTATGGCTAAGAGTGCATCTGACAAGCTTCAGCTCTTTTGTTAGCTGTAGTCTTTTAATGAAGAAGGCATATTGGCCTCAGTTATCCATATAGTTCTTTCCAGAATGTAATTCTGTAATAGTCTGTGTGTGTAGCTTCCTTTAAAGACCATATAAACTACCACCCACAGTTACCTGTAGGAAGATGAAATTTTTTTCCCCCACTGAATAATTACCTGTACATTAAGGAATGAGGGTCTTAAATTCCCTGTAGTTCTTAAAAGAGTAGAAAATGATGCTGAAAGTAAAGAGTGGGCAGGAGATAGAAGTGTTTGCAGACTTTGCTGCTGAAAAGCATTGGTGTCTTTGAAGTTTAGCCATTTGGGGGAGACTGTTTTCATGCTGAAATTTTAATAAGGCTGGAGAAAGCTGCTCTCTTTTATTTCCTTCCCTGTTCTTTGACACTTTCCCCTGCCTCATTTACATCTAGTTTTGTTCCCCTCTTTCTCTTCCCAGAGCGGCTACTGCTGACCGCATCTCCACACTGTGATTATTTTTCCTTCTTTTTTCTCTTTCTTCTGGCAGAACTAATAAAAGCTAATGCAGAATAGTGGGTTCCTGTGCTGGCCTCCCTTTTCACACATATTGACTGCTCTGTCCAGATACCCAAAGACTGCTACTATTTTACTACAGTCCCAATCTTTAAGAAAAGTGACAAATATAATCCTGTTAATTTCTGTCCAAATCTTCCTTGTTCATCAGCCAAGACTTACTTTTGTTCTAGCCAATCAACGAGGTTCCCACATATGTTTGGCATATAGTTTACTAATAACACTTAAGAGTTATTAGTAAACTATATGCAAAACATATATGGGAACCTCATTGATTGGCTAGAACAAGAGCAAATCTTGGCTGATGAACAAGGAAGATTCAGGGCAGGACAGTCAGCCATAGACTAATGAATTATTGTATAACCATATTGTAGAAAAATATTCTTCTCAATCTCAAAGTTTTCTTTATGCTGCCTTCATAAATTTAAAGGTGGCTTTTGATTTGATCTCTAAAGATTGTGGTGGAAATTATCAAACACATCTATGCATTGCCATCTTACTAGATTAATTATTATGTTCTGTAAGAGTATATACATACAAGTCAGACGTATAGTGAATAGAAGCATTTCAGCCCCATTTCCCATCGTGATAAGATTTAAACAAGCCTCTTTTTAATTTATATCAACTCCCTAATTCAAGCTCTAACAAGAAGTTAATTTGATCCCCCAGTGCTAGCAAACACTGTTTTGCTTTATGCAGATGATGTGATCATCCTGTCCCTGATGCATGCTGATCTTCAACAAAGTTTATGAGCGTTAGACATTTATTGTAGGGAAGAAAAGTTACAAAATAATTATAGTTTATTTATTTATATTTCAAATTTAGATACTGCCCAGAGTCACTTTTTGTGAGATGGGCAGTATCTAAATTTGATTGATTGATAGATAGATAGATAGATAGATAGATAGATAGATAGATAGATAGATAGATAGATAAAACAAAAGTAAAACAAAAGTATTCACAAAATAATTCATAAATATCCGCCATAAATAGAAAATCAAATACAATCAGTTTGAACAGATATTTTCAGGTATTAGAGGATTGAAATACAATTCCTAGGTATTTAAAAGTGTAAAATGCTTAGGAATCATGCTTCCTCTGATAGCTAGAAAGAGTAAGAAAAAACCATTTCAAGTTGTGCAAAAAAAGCATCTAATCATTAGATTTGCCAAACACTATGAAAATAATCATATTCCTGTTGTAATCACACTTTTCAGGGCCAAAGTCCTAAGTTTAATACACTATGGCACACACATTTGTGTCTATAAAGATGTAAAAAAATGGAGGTAATTCAGTACAAGTTCTTAAGAGCAATTCTTCATGTCCCTCACTGCATTTCAAATGCAAGCTGAGGCTGGAGCTAGGTTACAGAACAGTAGAGGCCCACATTAGGATTTAATGATTGAAATACTAGTTCAAATTAATTTTAAGGAGAGACAGATATCTATCTGAGTTAATATTTGTTGAATCTAAGTTTGACTTCTCTTGTAAAAAAACACATAACTTTAGTCTAGGCCTATTGTGGGTTCTTAGTTCACTGGAGTCTGAGAAGGCCTTACAAGTAATCAAGCAATGTATCCTGGATCTAGAGTTATAGAAGACCAATAGAAGCGAATATGTGTAGCTCAGGGTTGTGTAGGTCATCTCCTCACCAGCAATCATCACCCAGATAAGCAGAGATTAACACCAAG